ACCTTCTGCTGTTCAACATAATGATGACTGGTAGATAATTAGTTATTAGTGGTACTGCTTTTTAATTTTAGAAAGCGCAAATCCACTTATGAATTATAAAAATTAGTATGACCACTAAAGCGCAAACAAAATATTTAGGGCCGCAATTAGCGGACTTGCACTTTGGTGAGCTGGTGCCCACCACTGCTAGCATGGATAAGCTGGTGTTAGCATTGGAGAGGCTAGCAACTAGCATAGATAAGCTGTGTTAGCATCTGAGAGGCTAGTGACTAGCATGGATAAACTGGCATTAACACTGGAACAACTATAGCCTCCTGCTACAAGGGTGTAGCAACMCTTGTAGCAGTGTAAAAATGAAAGCACATGATAAACTCAGAGTCTGCAGCCGATGAGTGAAGCTGCAGGCTGCAGGCAGACGGTAACACTAGTTCCTGCTTGTCTCAGCACCAGGTGACAGCTGATGTCACACGGCTAAATTTACCCGCTGCTCCCACATGAGCGCAGCAGGGAAACATTTGTGTGAAGGGACAAAAATACAGTGACATTTCTGGAGCTAGCAGAACTTTTCTCAGGCGTGTTGGAGGTTCTGAGCTGTTACCTGTGAAGCTGCAGAAAATAAATAAATAAACAATGATTAACTGAGACACGGCCTGCTAGAGATCAGGTCTTGTTTTCATGGATTCAGCTAAAGAAACAGGAAGATTTTATGTTTTTGYTACAAAAACAAAGACGCTGAAGATTTAACTTAAACTTTAAAGTGCCTGACATCCATTCTTCATATATAAAAAAGTCAAAGAAAACACTTTTWTATGTATGGAACTTGGCATAAAACAAACAATTTTTACTCATTTTGTCTCAACTGGCATTACTTCTTTGAAATTGGTTCAGCAAAAGTGAAACARGAAGTGACTTAAAATAAATTGAAGAAACATCAGATWCTTCTCTACAGTCTGTGTTGTCAGCTATTTTACAAATCTCTGTTCACATGAAACAATTCCCCTATGACATCACTTCCTGTTACTTCACATGTAAATATCCCAACAAATGTTCATCTGAGCGACATAAAACTTGTTTTGTAAAATGTTATTAATGTTGTCTTTACAACAATGCTTTCATATTTATTACAAAAATCTTGATGTCAGACGCTTTAAACTGCTTCATCCTCTGAGGTCATCTGACTGAATGAGGTCAGAGGTCAGARGTCAGAGGTCAAAACATTCCTTTGAAAAGGATCAAGAGCTGAAAGGTAAAGGTCTGAAGAGAGTCTGACTGATGACAGTTTGTTTGTTCATGAATAAATTAAATATGTTTGATCTTTTGGAGGATCAGCTTCAGATGTCTTGCTGCTCCCCCTCCCCTTCCCCC